GATGATCAAGGCATTTCATGTTACCTGAATTCCCCAAATCTCTGTTTCCTCATCTGTACAATGTGAGGAATGTATGGGAAGATCTTTAATCTGTTTCTGCTCTACAGCCCTTTAATGTGATCCTGGGATATAAATTATCCTTTCAAAATAATGTCATAAAACCTAAGAAAAACACATGGGCTTTAAACCAGTTGTATTTATTGGTCACAAACAATAGAACCAGTTCTGGTTATTGTAGAAAACAATAATTAAGTAACTCTGGGAATGAAAGAAAAAGCTGTGGAGTGAAGGGCTCTAGGTGCCAGAAAGAAAAACACAATAGCCTTGAAGATAAGTACGTTTGACTATTTGGGGCCACTGTGAATCTTTTACTACTCTGCTCCATTCAAGTTTCAGAGAGACAGCATCCAAGTAATTTAGTTGGGACTTCTGCCCAAGCCTTGGCCAGCAGTGGGACAATTCACACACATGATAGATCTATGTTACTTCTGAGTGTGGGTGAGCATTGATTCTCCCAAGCAAAAGTTGGGTGCTATTACCAGAAGAAGGGAGTGGAGGCTGGGGTGTCAAAAACAACAAATGTCCATGAACCTGATGTCAGGAATTTGGCCTCTCCATCCCCTTGGAGGGATCTGTGACGGGTTTGAGGCTAGGGACAGATACAGACCATGAATAGACATGAGGATAAACCCTGGATCAAAGCTGTGGCCCAGGCCAGGAAGGGGCAGGCTGGAGCCAGGGAAGGCAGATGATAGGAGAGGGCACTTGGGAGTTCTGAAGGGTGAGCAGCTGTATTTTCTGATACTCACTTCATCCAGCCGCCAGCACCGAGAATGCACCACATGGTCAGTGGAATGGAATGTGGGGCAGACACCAGCCCCTCCGAAGCACACAGAAACCTGATACGATGGCTTCAGCCCAATGCACATCCAGGCATTTTCTGTCATTTAATTCCAATTCTTTGTGACGTCCAACAAAATTAAAATGTCCTGGGCGGGTCAAAGGGTCAGACCAGTCAAGCCAGAGTAGGCAAGCCCAAATTGCACATGTAGGTGAGACCAGGGACATTGGCTGAGCCAGGGAGAAACTGTCCCATTCTCCTCCCTCGCCCCCCCCACCTTTTTTTTTTACAGGGGAGATATCTTTTTTAAAAAAAAAAAATCTTGATTGTTGGAGATTCCTAAGTCTGTTACATTTCCATGCCTCTGGATCTATTTTATTCATAAGTTTATATTGTTCTTTAGGTTTAGTTTATTTTGATTTTTAGATTCAATTGTTAATAGGCATGTATTTGTTGCCATTTTGTTGTTCATATTTTTAATCTTTTTCTTTCTTCTTCTTCTTAAAGAAACATTTCATGTAATACTGGTTTGGTGGTGATGAACTCCTTTAGCTTTTTCTTGTCTGTGAAACTCTTTATTTGAGCTTCACTGGGAAGTGCCCAGATAAGGCCCAGCTATGAAGCAAGGCACCCTGGTGCTGGTGCCAGGTCTTGGGCCTTTTATTGATAGGTTTGGGACTCCCTGACCCAGCTGCAGCTTGTTTGAGAGCAAGGCTAGGCCATTCATATGCAAAAGCCGCTGCAAATAGCTTGGGTGGGGTTATAAATTGGATGAGGCTGGGTTTTAGGGAATCACCAGGGTGGAGCAAACAGAAATGGCTGCCAGTCAGCCCAGCAACCGGGGAGGTCCCAGCATAGGAACAATGATCCCTGTGAGCACCTCCATCTGGAAGAAAGCTGTCCCCGAGTTCCTGCCCGATGCCAGACAATCCAGTTCCTCTTCGTATGTGTTCCCCAGAGCCTCACCCTGGTGCTGGAGCTCAGAGGAAGACAGGCCTTGTAAGTTCAGTTCATGGTGCTGGCCTTTTAAGAGGAACAGATGGGTCTTCAGCAGCCTCTGTGTCACTGAGCCCCAATCCCCATTGGTTTTTACAGCCCGTAGTTCTTATGCTAGTAGGGACTTCTTTTCCCAGCTCTGGAACCCTGGGCTGGGGTTTGGTGTGGGGCTGGGACCCCTTGCTCCTCTGAGAGGCCTCTGCAGAGACGATCTCCCTCTCGATTAAAAAAGCAGCACATGTGGGTGTCGGACCAGCCCATCTGTGCCTCTGCACCAGTCTCACTGTGCTTTTTTCTTTATTTCTCTAATTGTAGGACTTCCATTCAGCCAGCTTCCCAGTGGTTCTGGATGATGGTTGTTCTGTATTTTAGTTATTTTGATGTGATTGTGGGAGGCAGGCGTACAGGTGTTTACCTATGCTGCCATCTTCAAATCTCTCCCCCATTTCCTTTCTTAAGCTAAGGCTCACCCAGCTGGCACCAGAGAGGGGTCCTGGTTTGGGTTGGAAGGTGCTGGTACCAGAAAGGGTACAGGAGACTACTGTGATAATGCATAGGGCGTAGTAACATTTGGAGCCAAGGCCTAGAACCAAAAGAGCGGTATCAGCTGCCAAATCTGAGAGATCAATTTGAGACTGTGGTAAAAAATGAGACTGAGATCAGAAATAGGTCTGGGAACAGTAGGAAGTGGGATGGCTTGAGAAAGTTCAGGATATAAACTTCACAGCCCAAGGGACCAAAGCCTTATTCTCACTGGATGCTGGTCACATGGTAGGGGGCTCAGCAACCAATCAGACCATTTAGTAGTGTAGAGCTGGGTAGGAAAAAAAAAGGGGGGGGGGCAATGCAGACATGGATGGGCACCTCATCCAGAACAGGCAGGAACTAGAGGTCTAAAGGCTGAAATCTAGAGTCTCAGAAGCCAGACTGCCAGCCAGGTGGCCACTAGCCCGTAAAAAGACCTCTGCTCCCAGTGATACCCTCAAGTGAGGCTAACAGGTCCTTGGACTTACCAGTGATGTTTATTAATTGTGAGCTATTTTCTAATTGGGCAAGGGCAGATGCTTAAAAAGAGGCACTGTTTCTCTAAGATAGTGGTTCCCAACCTGGCTGCATACTGTAATCACCTGGAATCTTTTGAATAGGCTAATGCCTGGGAACTCTGATTACAGACTTCACACCCAGAAATATCTGGGAAGTAATGCATAAAGTATACAATATTCTTTAGAAGATTCAACAAATTCTGGGGAGTTTTCTAGTAAAATAGCCTCATTCCCCTCTTTTAAGGTCAAATTTGCATATACTTAAACACAGACATTAAACATACAATTCAATGAGTTTCAATAAATATATACATCCAACAGTTGGTGATCAGGATAAAGGGAAGATGGAAATTCCTTGTACTTGCAACTTGCTTATAAGTTGAAATTATATCAAAATTAAAAGTTACCAAAAAAGTATACATTTAAAATACCATTGCTCAAATTAAGATAAGGAACATTCCATCACTCCAAAAAGTTCCTTGCACTATTTTCCAATCACTCCTAGACTCTGCCAGAGGCATTAATTTTAAATTATTTCTATCACCTTAGCTGAGTTTTGCCTGTGCTTGTATTTTATATAAATGGTATATAGTATGTACTGGTTTGTGCTTGCTTCTTTCCTTCAGCATAGTTTGTTTGCTGTGTGAATCAGTAGTTCATTCTTATTATACTGAAAGCTGCTATGAACATTCTTATACCAGTCTTTTCATGGATATACACTTTCATTCCTCTTGGTGCCACATTTTCATTGAAAAAAGGACTTAATATGTAAATAAGTCTGGAAAGTAATTATGTGTGTGTGTGAGAAGTCCATCTAGGAATGGAAATACTGCTATCAGTAACTATCTGTTTAGTGGCAAACTGTTTTCTAGCTGGTCCATATCTTTGCTGATGCTTAGTATTTAAATCTTTCTATTTTAGTCATTTTAGTTGATGTGAAGTGGTTCCTTAGTATGGTTTAATTTACATTTCCTTGATGATTGATGATGTTAAGGACCTTTTCATGTACTTGTTGATCATCTATATATCTTCTTTTGTGAAGTAGTCCTTCAAGTCTTTTGCCTAATCTTTTTTAGTTTTGTCTTTTATATATTTTTGATATGAGTACTTTATCAGATTGAATTGTGAATATTTTCTTCCAGCCTGTGAACTGCCGTTTCACTTTAATGTTTTTAGTTTTGTTGAAGTCAAATTTGTCCAATTTTTTTATGTCATGCTAAGAAATATTTGCCTACCCCAAAATCATAAAAGTATTTTCCTTTGTTTTCTTTTAGAATATTGTTTTAGTTTCCATTTTAGGTTGACTACCTATCAAAAATTGATTTTTTTTATTTTGCATGATTGTTTAATCCAGAATTTCCCAAATATTTTTGGTCATGAAATCTATTTCTCTACATACCACCTATGTATATCTCAAGGAACTAACACCCAAAGCACAATGAGAAATGGATATTTCCCTAGAGCCGTGGTCGGCAAATTGCGGCTCGCGAGCCACATGGGGCTCTTTGGCCCCATGAGTGTGGCTCTTCCTAGGCCTTAGGAGTACCCTAATTAAGTTAATAACAATGTACCTACCTATATAGTTTAAGTTTAAAAAATTTGGCTCTCAAAAGAAATTTCAATCATTGTACTGTTGATATTTGGCTCTGTTGATTAATGAGTTTGCTGACCACTACCCTAGAGGAATCAGTGTAACAACTCAAACTGATAAACATGTCTGGATACCATGAAACCCATTTATTATAACTAAGAACAAATGAACAAGACACAAAAGGCAATAAATTAAAACGAAGCTGTAGTATACTTTGACATAGCTAGGATAGAACTGTTTTCAATTAGGCTTAAAACCATAAATATTCAAAACATGAAAAACTATCAAATGTCAACTAACCCTTCTACCAACAAACTAGCTCCTGATCAATTACTCAAATGCTTTATATTTGAGTCCTTGGGGACAAGGATCATGCCTCATTCATCTCTTTTTTCCCTCAGCACCCAAAAACAGTTCTGGGTTTATATTTGGCACTTAATAAATATGTTTTCATTTGAAATATAATATTTCTCAAAGTGTATATAACAAAATGTCAAGTTGTTCTTTCAGTGGTGGGACTATAGTTGACTTTTTCTTCTTCTTTTTTTGGAGTGAGCATTTATTTGCACAATTACAACATGCGGACAAAACCCAGAAGAGGGGAGCAGGCCTGGCATTTGCACCCCAGTGCAGCAGTTGGTCACACCACCAGCTCAAAGCGAGACACATGAAGGGGCTACTATCTGCGATGATCTGACAGTGGTGGCAGAGGTGAGGGTGCAGGTGGTGCAGCTGCTACTCGTCCTGGTCCGAAGACTCTCTCTCAAATGTGTAGGCCATGAAGCAAGCATCGGGTCTCTTGGGGACAAGGGGATGCCCTGGTCTCACAATCTCAAAGCCCATAAAGCTGAAGGTTCGGAGCAGAGCGGCTCTGTCATCACGGTTCTTGTGGAAGCAAATGAAGACATGGTCAGCATGCAGCTGCTCCTCAGCAAACTCGAGAAGAACTGCAAAGCTGTCTTTGCTCCCCTCTGGCAGAGCACCGCCTGGGATCTCGATGTAGAGGCAGCTACTGCTCAGCACTGCTCTCCAGTTGATGTGTTTGGCATCTGTGAGCCTGGTCTGGACATTGAGAATTCTCGTCTTGTTATTAGACGTTAGTTCCTCTGTTACATTCAGTCTATTATCGGAGTAAAATAAATTAGCTGAAAGATTGTGATCCCTTTGACTATTCCCTCGCCCACCTGGATCTTCAGGGGTAGGTGAGGCCATCAGGAGCACCACTGAGGCCCTGGACCCAGGTTACTACAGCAGTTAAGGGAGACCCTGGAACTCTCGCTGCTGCGGCCTCCGCGGCGGTGCAGACTGATGAGCGGCATGGTGCGACTGGGGTGAACGGGGACGCTGGGTTTATTCTCTTCCTTCTCTCTGGCGAAACAGTGGCTGTTGAGGATCCGCTGCAGGGAGGATTTCACCATCCGGTCGCTGGGGTCCGAAACCAGGAAAACCTCCGCTGAGCCTCTCCGCGTCGCCGCCGCTGCTCGCTGTTCGCAAAATCCTTTTTCTTCATTTTTAACTCTCCATTTTATACTTTTCAAAAGCGAACCTGAATTACTTTTAAAATTAAATATATGTATTTTTAAAATACTCATTGGGAAGGCCTCTTAAGTCTCCATTAGGAGAAAAAAATAAAGAATGTTTAAACTCATCATTGCTTAAATATTTCCCAATTTTAACAATTAATACTAAGACCTCAAAGGTTCTGAGTTTGAGGAACTCATAATAGATGGGACTAAGTGACTATAAACAATTGCGTATGTTTTGCAAATGCTTACAGGCAGCAATAGTAAATAAGGAATTATACACTGAGTGGCCAGATTATTATGACCACCTGATGTTTGTAGGCAAATTAGCTATAATTGCGCGCTGAAGTTGCTAGAGGGCCAGAGCATTATAAATAGGGAAGCACGTTGTTTACCACAACAGTAGAAGTAATTTTTTTCTGAAGATATGGGTAAACAATGCGATTTAACAACCTTTGAACGTGGGATATATATATGTGTTAAATTGCGTTGTTTGCCCATATCCTCAGAAAAAAATCACTTGTACTGTCGTGATAAACAACCTGCTTCCCTATTTATAATGGTCTGGCCCTCTAGCAACTTCAGCGCGCAATTATAGCTAATTTGACTATAAACGTCAGGTGGTCATAATAATCTGGCCACTCAGTGTATAGTTGAATCCTTTACAAAATGGGCCTAAGGTTCTGATTACTGCTAGATGAGAACATCTGAACATTTGATCTACTGCTTCAATATCTATTTTACTTTCAAAGGCCAAAATATTCAGCTTCTAAGTTGATGGCTACAGAATACTAATAGAAGAACCAAGTTAGGATTCCTTCACTTCAAAGAATTCCTGAAAAAAGCTGAGGGGGGACCTGTTCTGGTGGCTCAGTTGCTTGGAGCATCATCCCATACACCAAAAGGTGGCAAGCTCAATTCCTGATCAGGGCACATACCCAGGTTTCAGGTTCGATTCCTGGTCTGGGTGGTGTGTGTGTGTGTCTGTGTGTAACTAAATATAATATCTTGGGTCGGAGTATTCATTATGTTTGATCTGTCACTGGAACAGAGTTGTATCTTGTAAACTATTTCAAATATTTATTATATTTGTGTTTGCCTTTTTTAAGGCAGTTTATATACTCTCCTTGTACTCACTATAAAACTCTGCACCGACAGACAGTGGAATCCTGAGAGGGTGCCCACAGTAAAACCTTGGTTAATAAGGTTATGATGCAGGATAACCTGTCACCATAAATGAAAACATTACAGCCACAAGTGAGGTTTTCCTTTCCCCTCAGAATGTTAAGCAATCTCTCTACTTATTTTCTTATAAACAAAGCACACTTTTAAAACTAAAAGGAAAAAAAGGTGGTACAAAATGTCATAAAATGTCTGTCATTCTATTTTGTAGCATTGATGTGGTAAAGCATTATTGGAATACCTAAGTGATTGCTGTTTATTTATTTTTTTGATTAACATGCAAAATGAAAAGAGAGAATACTTTAAGATTTTAAAGTAGTATTGCAGATGACAGACTTCAATAATTGCTCCAGCAGACCACAAAGGATTAGTTTTACAGCAAGAAACTTGGGGTAACCTGGCTAAATATTTCATTCATGTGACTGAGTGGGTTGGGGGTAGGATGGTTGGGATCTGCTTAGCAGTGGGAGTGACTGTGTCTTGGCTGGGCTAGGGTTTAATTTCTCACTTGTAGTCTCAGACTGTACAGAACAGCCTACTCATGCCCTGTGCTGGACCATAGAATTTGGAGTTCTGCCCCTTGGGTCAAGGCTATCTGAAAATGGCAAGGATAGCAACAGCCCTAGAGTCAGCCATTTAAAACAAGGATTGCGGGCTGGCCTGGGCTGCTAGGTAGGTGTGAGAGAAAGGAGAATGGTCTTGTCAAAAGCTCAGCCAGAATTCTTTCAGATTTCATTTTCACAAATGCCCTTAATTTAGTCAGCAGTTCCTACTTTCATCCAATGGAGTGGGTGCTAGGTAGCAGAGGATTAGGAAGACATGAGAATGCTAAAAAGCCAGAGAGTAAGGAGGACTGTAATACAAACTACACTTCTCTGGATCCCAGCTGAGTTCTCACTTGGGTTCAACGAACTGACCCGAGGTATCAGGGCCTCTTCCATGTTCTTTTAAATACTTTTTCAATGATGGAATATTTATGCTCTCAGTGGTTACATCTGAATTTTGGAAATAACCAAGTCCATTCAATTCTCATCAAGCTGGGCCAATAATAACTTACATTTGGACAGTGTGTTTCATTTCACAAGGTGCTATAACAATGCCTTGTTTCATATAATTTTTAGGACAACCCCTGACGTAGGTACTTTTATTCTCAAATTATAGAGGAAGAAATTGAGGTTAGGAAAAGTTAAGAGATATGCAGAGTTTTAAAACTAGTAGGCTACAGAGGCTGGACCTGAATACAGATCTTCTCATTTAAAATTCATTGCTCTTTATCCTATATCAGAGGTTCTATTTTATTTTTTTTAAATGTTTTTAATTGATTTCAGAGAGAGATTGAAACATCAATGATGAGAATTATTGATCGGCTACCTCCTGCACGCCCCCTAGAGAGGATCAAGCCCACAACCCAGGCATGTGCCCTGTTTGGGAATCAAACTGTGTTTATAGGTTGAGGCTCAACCATGGAGCCACACCAGCTGGGCTCTACTTTTAATTTTTAAGAAATATGAAGCACTACAGGGCAACCTAACTAATTTCCATTCAAAACCTCCTAATCTTGAGCAACAGACAATTTAAAAAGAGGATTTCCAGAACATTTTGAGCAATGGCATCCTCATCAGAACAAGGGCATGATTTCCTAAGAAATAAATGCATGGTTTTTCTCTATTTCCAGATACATGGTTGGATTTTAAAAAGTTCCATTATTTTATTGTCACAACTGGTAAGATTTAAAATACTTACTGTATTCGCTTCAATAAAAATCATTATGCAGGAAAAAATATTGGAGAGAAAAGCTATTTAACAGCTGTGGAAAGGAAAACTGCAAAGGACCTCTAAAGGCACATAAAACTAGACTTGCAGGCTACTTTGTTTTTATAAAGCAAAATTTGGGGAAAGACAAAATATTAGCATAATAATATTTATACTTATACATCTACAAAAGAACCTCATTACACTTGGAGATTATAGTCTAGAAATTCCAAGTTAGTAAAGAAATACAAGAGGAGGGTTCCCCTGGTTTGTTTTTGTCCTCCCATTTTGTCCCACCTTTCTTTTGGGTACAGTGTAAAGTGGGAAATCAGGCACTAATAGTGTTACAGCAAGATAAAAGTGTCCCAGTGCTCTCTTCAGCAGCACATATACTAAAATTGAAATGACACAGAGAAGATTAGCATGGCCCCTGCGCGAGGATGACATGAAAATTGGTGAAGCATTCCGTATTTTTAAAGAGGTGAAGAGATTAAGAAGTACAAATTGGTAGTTACCAACTAGTCATTGGGATGTAAAGTACAGCATAGGGAATATGGTCAATAATATCTCGATAACTATGTGCCAGTTGGGTACTGGAACTATCAGAGGGAATGCTTTGTAAAGTACGTGATTGTCTAACCACTAGGCTACACCTGAAACCAATATAAAATGATATTGAAAGTAAACTATAATTGAAAAATTAAAATAAAAAAGAATGCATCAGAGGAATCCAACAAAGATGAAAGAAAAAAAAAGCGTCCCATAGATACCATAATTAATCACTGAGTGGCCCGACACTGGTTAGCTATAGGAGCTCAGAGCTGATTGTTAAATATTCAGCATTAATTTATTATAACTAAATAGTAATTTAAAAGAAAGAAAAGAATCAAACAAGATCAGGTAAATTTGGTCATGCTGAGAATTTGACAATGGCGTGTTCAAAGTATAAAACTGACCCAATCGACCATTTCATCCTCATTTGCATAGTCTCAACCTGTCTTCCTTTTCATTGTCTTGATATTTTTTAAATTACTGTTTCCAGACGCACTTAAGTCTGTTGGACTCTGAATATCCAGTTATTGTACCTGATTTAAAATACTTTAACATTAGTTCCTGCATTGCACTGAAAGACATATCAAGTCTACTGTAGGGATTGGTTAGGTCTTGAAAGCCCTAATTCCACCAGCTGGCTACAGGCAGAGCTGACAAGATTTTGTTCTGACAAACTGCTTTGTTTTCATTGTGGAAATTTTGTTAGTAGAGGAGCTTCTGGAAAACACTAGCATCCAGGTGCTGGGCTGTATTTCTGGCTTGGCCACATAATGAACAATGTTACTTTGAGTTATTCACTTCATATTTTAAAACCTCATCTGAAAATGGGGATAATGCCCTGTTTCTGTGATGCTAAGATATACATTTCCTCCCACATTTTATTATTCCTAAAAAGGGATGTACCTAAAGAAATTCGCCAGCTTCCAGGCCCACTTTGGATGCCCCAGAATGGAACATAACTGTAATTTGTGAATGTAGGAGAACTTAGCAGGTTCCATAGAAGGTATCTGTTCATTCTGTATCACTTCAGATGAGTTATGTGCATTTTATGGCACCACACATGTTTATTTGTATTTCATCTTAACCCCTTCCCCAACAATTTTTTTGTTAAAAACGTTTCTTTTTCAGACTAATTTTTTTATTTTGGTTCTATATAGTATTTTTGATGCTGGTTATGAAAACAGTTTGTAACTCGTCTTCCTATAAACCATATTTTTTTTTACCATATTTTCTTAGTATACTCATCGACGACTGAAAAAGAACATTTTGTGAAAACGAGTATACACGTTTCTGCCGGGGAAGGGGTTAAATAATTATACATTTATATTATTCTAAGTAAAGCAAAAGTTTGTCACTGGAGGACTGTTGAAATCTTCGTATCCTCTTGCTAACTAACAACAGACACTCTCAAATAACTTACTAAATAGAAAGACTTCAATTGATGACATGTTATAA